TTATCCTCAATAGCATATAGGCTGCTTGGAGCCTATTCTGGTTTTCTAGGAATCCAAGACTTCCCCCACTTGGATCTCTTGGAATCCTTAGAATCTGATAGAGTGGGCCATGGTCTTCATTATTCTGAAGACCGCACTCTGTTTCTTTTTTTGGAATTCTTGGTTTATCCTCAATAGCATATCAGCTGCTTGAAGCCTATTCTGGTTTTCTGGGAATCCAAGGCTTCCATCACTTGGATCTCTTGGAATTGTTGGAACCTGATAGAATGGGCCATGGTCTTCACTATTCTGAAGGCCGCACTCAGTTTGAAGTCGTGAAATCCTTGGAACCCTTACTTCGATAATCAATTCTAGGGTTTAAGATTTCTCAAAACCGTAGAATTGCGAGAGTTTCAAGGATTTTCTGTCACTCTACGTTTATCCAGATGTTTCACAACGTCAGGCTATTTCCAGAACATCGAAATACGAAGATTTGCAATGATTTTCATTGTTTTTTAATGAATTGGAAATATTGAATTTTTCAAGGATTCGGAAACCTTGAAATATGGCGGCGTAGCGGGCTCCTGGGTTGAGTCACTTATTACTGATTCTTCTTCTTCTTCTTCTTCTTCTTTTTATTGATTAATGAAATAATTTATTTTAAATTCTTTTTTTACAAGAAAAAAAGAACACGGTGTACAAGATTTTTTTTAAAAGTTACTTGTTCTTTATTTATTGGATTCGATATTGAATTTTTGTACTCGATGATTTCCGTAATCGACAACATAGAGATTGCCGTCTCGATCGAATGACAAACCATGGGGCCTATTCAGCGGATTCGATTGTCCTCCTCGACCGTTTCCACCAACAATGACACTTCCCTGTGTGGCTCCTTTGGGCCAACGCATGATTCGAGTATTCACATAATCAGCTACATAGACAGTGCCCGATTGATCGACAACGACTCCTTCAGGACCTGGTAATTGTGTAAGACCATTTCCTTTTCCTTGACCACCAGCCACGATAATGCCTTGTTTTGCACCTTTCATCCATTTCATCACACGATCATTTCCCCATTCAGATACATAGACTGATTGATCTCGATCGACGAATACGTATCGTGGACTATTGAGTTGATCGAGACGATTTCCACTTCCATTGCCACCTGCAACCACTGTTCCTTCCGATTCTCCTCTTCGATATCGTCTCACTTCATTTTTTCCCCAGTCAACGACATAGAGAGATCCATTCTCATCCATTGTCAAACCCAAACAAAAGATGTTGGATATGATTGTTTCTCCACTTGTTCCATTTCGACGAGGCCATCGAACCACTCTTGCACTCGTATCACATATGATGAGACTATCTGTCTCTTTGTCGACAATCACATCTATTGGGTAAGACAATTGATGATTCCCATGTCCTTGTCCATTTCCACCGGCAATCACTTGACCACTTGTCGCACCCCATTTCCATTCCATAATACGATGATTGTCGTAATCAGCGACATAGATTGTTTGTTCATCATCAACAAACAAACTCCATGGTTTTGCGAGTTGATTGATTCCATTGCCTTCTCCATTTCCTCCAACTACTGTAATTCCATTTTGTTGCCATCGAGCATTCGAATGAATATCGATAGCAGGTGCTCGGAGCGGAATGACTGAAATCATTGAAAATTGAATTAATTCAGAGTTTTTCCTTGTAAATATTTTTTTGTTGAATTATGCTAAGGATCTATCTAGTAGACTAAGTGTCAGAATCTGCATTTCATCTTATTTCATTTTGAAAATAATTGAAATGGATGAAAATGTTTTCTATCGTGATATCGAAATGATTCAATTTATCGATCTGTATCGAACAAAGTTGAACTCAAGAGACGTAGGAGAGATTATGTTTGCCTCCGTGTCGAAGTGACTATTGTCAACAAGATTTCATCTATTGTAGACATATATCGTCTATTGATATACACATCTTGATGTTAAGATCATGCTGCTAGCGTAAGAAGCTGGTAATTGGCTAAAGCATGAATTTTTTATTCGAATTCTCGATGATTTTGAAGGTCAATATTTAGTTTCGAGTAGAAAATTGTCAACTTCTCTTTTCTGTTCTTTATAACGAGTGGAAATGGAGAAAGTGCTTATTCTTTATTGAATAGTATACAGGTTACGATTCTCCATTGATTTTTTACTCTAGTGCTGACGATAAAATCATCAATATATTCTGCAGCAATGAAGAACTTGTTATCATAGCATTCTAATTCAGATACGTTCTAGTTTTCATCTTCTTCAAATTAAAGAAACAGTGATATCTGTTTCTACTTTTAGAACTCGGTATTATTTCATTATCGAACATACTGTCATCTATTCAAACTAATATGTATCTCAAAAATTTATTTTAAGGTTTTATTTTTTTTTGCAATGTCGAGATGGAGAATATTCAGCATTCTTATATATATATATACATTTTTTTATTGCACGAACATCTAGAAGTTTTTCTTCAACAATAGAAATTCATTTATTTTTTTTTAAATACATTTGACGCAACGAAAATAATTCTCGACTTTTTCCAAGTATTGATGAGACTCGAAAGAACATTGTTCAAAAAACAACTATTATGTGAAATACAGAGTGAATGTAAAGTTGAATGGATGTGTCTTACCGACTTTTGTGGAACTCACGTATATTTTCGAAGAAAATAGTGAGTGTAAGTTTTAAATCGAGGTTTTGCGGCTTCCCCCCCTAGGCCCCACCATTACAGACAGACCATAGCAACGGGAAAGAGAACATTACAGACCTTAGCAACCGGGGGTCAAAGGTCAAAGGTCATTGGATACATTTCCCTAGCAACGGAGACACAAAGAACTGGCTGCTCTCCTATGGCTCCTTAGCAACGATATGGCGAAAAATCATACATTACTGGATATGTTTCCATGGCACCAAGCTTCGCCATTACAGACTGTTACAAACAAATTAATTAATTAGTTAATTAACAGAATAGTGAATAAAATACTAATTAATTGATAATTAATATATTCAATATTTAATATTTCAAAAAAATTATTTTTTAATACTTAAAATACTATATTGAAAATATTTAATATTTTCAATACAAAATATAATACTGAATATGTACTATTTATTAGTTTATTTTTTTTCTATTTTCTATTTTTAATTTTAATCTTCAAAAATATTTAATAGTTCGTTCTAAGCCATTATTGGGCAGTGACCGATCGTCATTGGCATATCATGAGAAAAATAGAATTTACGTGTTAGAGATGCATATGAAATACAAATAACTTTTTTCAATATCACGATGCTAAATGAATGAAATAATCTGATAGAAAAGTAATTATAAATATGAACAATTTCATTAAAGAAAATTTCAGAGCGCGCTTACAACTATCAGAATTGTTATAATTCTGATTTATTCATCTATTTGATATATTTTTAATAACTTATTTTAAAACCTCTGACGATATGTATTCAATTTATAAGACTCAGAGTTCATGAGTTCCACATTTTAGCCCCAAAGGGGCTGCGCTGACAAGCTTTTTTTTATTGTGTTCCTTAAAAGGAATAAAAATGAAGAAAATTCTTGTTCTTCATTGAAAAATACATAACTAATGATTCGCTATCGATTGCCAATTAACATTCTGATGAGAAAGTCATCAAAACAATCTGCTGGAGTGAAGTGTTTTTTATCGTAGTATTCTAAACAAAATTCATTTTCTTTTCATCTTTTTCAAATTAAAAAATATTGATATCTCTATTTCTTTATAATCGATATCATTCGAGTATCGAAAATACTTCGATATATTCAAATCAATATAGTTAGTTACTTAAGATTTTTTAAAGATATCATTTTTCATTATGATGTCAAGATGGAGAATATTCATTCTCCTTGTACATATATCTTTTTATTAGACGGAGCTTTAGAATTTATTCTTGAATGATGAAAATTGAATTATTTTTTGTTGTATGCATTTGACTCAACGGAAACTATTTTCCACGTTTTCCAACTATTTATGGGAATGTAAATATTATTTTTCGAAAAATCTGTTATGTGAAATACTGAACGAATATAAAGTTGTATGTGTGTCTTACCAACTTTTTTTTTGTTCCTTAAAAGGAATAAAAATGAAGAAAGTTCTTATTTTTCTATGAAAAATATATAGCTTACGATTCTCGATTGGTTTTTTATACATACTTTGACGAGAAAATCATCAGAACAATCTGCCGGAAAGAAGTTGTTTTTGTCTTTTTATTTCTAGCGATATACATTCCGTTTTCATCTTCTTCCAATTAAAAAATATTTAAATATCTCTTTCCTCATATTCGATATCATTCGAGTGTCGAACATACTTCGATACATTCAAATCAATATAGCCAGTTCTTATAAATTTATTTTAAGATGTTATTTTTTATTGAGATGTGGAGATTGAGAATATTCATTTTCGTTATATAGATTGTTTTTTGTTGTACCAAGCTTTTCCAGACTTTATTGATATAGATAGTTATTTGATTGCTACTAATTTGGCATATTACTAGAAGAGAAACTGATTTCTACTTCTTTCAATTAGTTCTGATGATTTTTGATAGAAAACTATTAATATCGTCTACTTGTCTCTATGCATTATGAGTGTTTATTTATGACTAAAAAAAAATTTTGCTCCCATATCATGCTTTTCCTCTTGCATGAATCCATAAACAGAAAGAATAGAATATCCATCAGAGACGTGCGGTCCACGGGGCTCACCCCGCGGGCCCCGCGGGGCCACGTGGCGACGGGCGGACGGGTAACAAAATTTTAATTAAACGCGGGGTTAACGGGGCACGGGTTTTGCTCAGTTCACGGGCGGGCGGGGCGGGTATGAAAGTCACGGGTTCGGGCGGGGCGGGTAAACATTTTTTTTCGGGTGTGATGAACGATTGTTAAAAGTTATCCAGAGATGTCGTTAGCATACATGTGTAGTACAAAGTACATATTGATCGGTTCGTTACTTTCATCCTATTAGACGCATGCTCATTTGAAGACTAACATGTAGACTATATTTAAGTTTTGTGGAACTCATATATATTTTCGAAGAAAATAGTGAATATAAATTTTAAATCGATGTTTTCGGTTTTCTTCCATCCCTCTCTGTTACAGACACTTAGCAACGTAGCCACCGATTACAGACAGGCCTCTATCATCGACATTAATAATTTAATAATAAAACAATCATACTCCGCTATGCTACAAAAGTCTGGAATTTTCGAAATTTTTGTATAAACTGAGTACCTGAAATTCACTGTTTTACTTATTGGAATATCAAGTGTTTGATCTGGATGAAGAGAAAAGTTCAAGTTTAAGATATTGAGAACGATTAAGGATAATAAATTGATTTACTTTAACGGTCATATGATCAGCCAAAAAGATAAAATTTAATAACGCAGTATGTTTTATTCAGGTCTAAGTAATATTAATGATCATGAATTGATCAAGATATGTATCGGAGTTGACTTCAAAATTGAGTTGCTTTAAAATATTTTAAGCTCAACTAGTTGTGTTTAAAATAAATTGTAAAGTCAACTGGTTACCTTTTCAAGGCAACTAGTTGAGTTCAAAAGGGTGGGT